GGAAGCAAAACACTGGCCTCTAGCTCTCACCTCTAGCTCAAGCTAAAAGGGCTGATTCATACATGAGTGCTTCAGAAAGTCTCAAACTGCTGGCTCTCTACAGTGTGGCTGGAGAATGAATGCCTATACTGACTACTGAAGTCCCTGCTTCTATCTTCTATACCTCTCTAGTGCTTAGAAAAAAAGGCATGGATTTGTTACTCTTTTAGACTGATTCAATCTCATATATCCCTGGGTGGCCTTGAACTCAGGGAGATCCCTCTACCTCTTAATCCTGAGTCCTGCATTTAAAGGTGTGTACCATTACCTCCTAGTTTCTACTTGCTGGGATTAAAGGTGTGTTCCTGGCTTCTGTGGTTTGTAGCTGACTTTGCTTTCTGAATTCTCAGGCAAGCCTTTAATAAATTATAAGCAATATATCACCACAACCCTATTCACAATAGTGAGGAAATGGAAGCAGCTTAGATGACCAACCACCAACTGATCAATGGATAATGAAAATGTGGTATATTCATGCAATGGAATTCTTTTCCAGCTATGGTGATAATGAATTAATGAAATTTGAAGGAAAATAAAATTGGAAAAACACATCCTGTAAGATAACCCAGGCACAGAAAAACACATCAGTCACCAAACAAAACCAAAAGTTATAAATCTAGGAAAGGAACTGGTAAGGATGTCCAGTGAGGTATGTGTGTGTGTGTGTGATATATATATATATATATATATATATATATATATATAAAGAGAGACAGAGACAGAGAGAGACAGAGAGACAGAGAGAGAGGGAGAGGGAGAGAGAGAGAGACAGAGAGAGAGAGAGAGAGAGAGAGAGAGAGAGAGAGAGAGAGAGAGAGAGAGAGAGAGAGAGAAACTTGACAGGTATGAGTGTGTGAATATAATAGAAGGCTAAGGCCAGGAGGTGATGATATATGCCTTCCTTTAATTCCAGCACTTGGGAGGCAGAGGCAGGCGGATCTCTGTGAGTTTGAGTCCAGCCTTGTCTACAAAGTGAGTTCCAGAACAGCCTCCAAAGCTATACAGAAAAACCCTGTCTCCAAAATTCCTTCCAGAGTAATAATAGAGTCTGAAGAGAGATAGACTTTCCAGAATACACAATGTACATATATATGAAATTGTCAAATAACAACATTAACCAATAAAAACTACCAAAACAAAAAGATAAGAAACGAAGTATATGCTGAATGTAACAACATAATATGCATATACAGAATTTCCTTTTGTAGTTATTGATACCCTAAGTATTAGAAAACAACACTGATACTTTGTGCATTGAACCAGATTGTATAAACACTTTGTGGTATACTTACCTCAATTAAAGAATAAAAAGTGTTAGCAGTTGTTTGTTAAAGATGAGTGTTACTTTCATTATTTACTTACTACTATGAGTTTTAAATTTATTAGGATATTCAGAGCACTCGGAAAAGTATTTGAAAATGAAACTTATTTTCCTTTATAATTTGCAGAGTTAAAGCTCAAATCCAGAGCCTTATCCATGCCACTCAGGGTTCTGTCACTGAGCTACATCCTGGCCAAGAAATACTACTAACTCCTTCACATTGCTGTCATCATTACAGAGGTTAAAAATAGTCAAGCATATCCACAAGATAATGTATCATTTCAACATTGAAATATTTCAATAGATGTTTGATATCATTAAATAAATAAGAACTTGGAAAGATTACAACAAACTATTTGACCATTCTTATATAACTATGTGATAAGAAAATGATATTTTTCTACACTGTGATGTGTAAAATTCAAAAATATTGAATTGTTTTTCTTAGTAATGGATGTTTTATTCATAAAATGTAGCATTTTTTGTTAAAAGAAAAATAGAAGTGAGTGGGTAAACTGAAAGCAGAAATGAGTGTAATGGGACTAAAGGATAAAGAAAGGATAAGAAAAAAGGGGTGAGAGATAGAGAAACAACAAAAAAGAAATTGTTTATAGAATGCTATAAACAGACCTGGTAAGGTTATTAAAAATATAGAACAACAAAAATATATCAATTAGAGGCAAAGACCAGAACACTTTTGTATGTGACATTTCCTAAAAAGATTATTGTGTAATGAAATGAATCACACACTTTGAAATCTTCAATGCTACTGACAAGAAAACAGTGAACCCAGCCATAACTGGATTTTGACAAAACCTTAAACCTGAATGATGCTATGACTGGTTACCAAAATGTGTTCCCTTGAAGGCAGCTGACAGGATAACCTGTGCATTAATAATGAGGAGTCAGGAGTTCTGGGGTACTTCATCAGAACCACTTATAGCTAGTACAGAACAGTTGGCAGTAGTGTTGACAAAATACCAGGCTATGAGGTAGCAGCATGAAACTTGGCCACCTGACTCAACAAACTCATGGCACATGACCAGTATCATCTCACTGGAAGCATGAGAAAAAAAATGACAGCACAGAAGCCAAGCACCTGCTGTGTACTGAGCCACAAGGCAAAGGTCAATAATGCAGGAAGAAGAAATGCTTTAAGGATAAACTAAAGCAGTACATAGTCAAGCAACACGGCTGAGAAACCAAGACTCAAAGAACCAATGGGCTTGGAATCCAAATGGTTCCCTGAAGTAAAAGTGCTGAACAGAAGAAAAATGGTAGTTTCCTAATCACCCAATGTAGCTGGCTAGCCAGTGTAAACATATATTACAGTCTTCTAGTAAGAGATTTTCCTACAATCATCACTATTTTAAAATAGATAACCATATCATATAATGTGGAGTAGACATAACCAAGATGCAAAAATTATCAGATAATTTCACTCAGTAAGATCAGACAGTGGCTTGAGCTTAAATTTAACTTTATGCTACTATGTAAAACAATACAGTAAACTTGTGCTCAAAGTATTGACCTTTGGGTTTCACACACACACACACACACGTGCGTGCATGCACGTGCACACAATTTTAGGAGTGACTCTTTCAGAGGACCCAGGTTTTGTTCTTAGTACCCTTTTGATTCCTGTAACAAGCTGGAACTAAATTCTAGGGAACTCAACATCTGGCTGGACAACAAACTTGCATACACATGAAGATGAAACACTCACAAACATACATAAATAAAAACAAATAAAATCTTAAGGAATGATGTATCTGAAACTAGTGGATTATTCAGTGTGCTATCCAAGTGACTGTGTTTTAAATATAACTATCATAACTTTTAAAACATTGTAAACTTACAGTAGACATTTAAAATTTATGTCTTATTGTTAGAGATATAATTATGTCATTTCCCCTTTCCTTTCCTCCCTCCAATCCCCTCCTTTTTCACTTTCAAATTCATAACCAAAACTGATCAAGAGGTAGATTTGTGGGGCCCATCCCCAAAGAATATATCTACAAAATACTCTAAACTCAGTGCTCAGGACTCATTACAGAAGAGGGAGTGGGAAGATCATACGATCTCCTAGTGATATCAGAAGCAACACCAATAAAATCTCACTAACATGACTGCCTAAAAAAGATATGAACAAGATCAAGCATAAAAGGTGTGCTAACGAGGATGAAGAAAAGTCCACGAGGCTTCAACCCTAAACAAAAAGCACAGACAAGTTAGAACTGGAGAGAGTGGAAGACATATCTTCCTCAGGGAAGAGCTTCAATTGCTTATACAACACCATCAAATGGTCATCTATGCAAGCACACATACAACAAACATTATGCAGACAAAGCAGACTGTACTTATGTATTTGGAAATAGGTATATTGTACTTCTTTTTAAGACTTTGTCCAGTGGTTACAAAGGACATATATTATTGTTACGTTGTGAATGCGTGTGATGGTAATGTTTGGTATTTAATCAATACTACCTAAGTAATACTTTCCAGAGAAAAGGTAATTTCAGCTAATAAAAATGTTTACTATCTGGGAAGCATTTGATATAAAACGTTGCCAAAATATATGATTTGAAAGTTTAACTCCAAAAGTGCTTAGGGTTAGTAACATAGCTAGATTTTGAGACGTATAAGATCAATTTTCCTGACATTTTGATTAATCATGTTAAACTAATGTTCACTGGTTAATATAAGTATAAATTTGAGTCACAATGATCGACATTGACCGCAGTCAAGGTATCAGTTCTTATATGCACGTATTTGAAATGTTAACATACTATTAAAAACAAAAAACGTGCTTTTCTGCACACTCGGGTACTCTGTTTAATCTGTAGTGAGAACTTAGCTGAGAGATGTAAAATTTAAAGTTGACATTTACAAAAACTTAAAAATGAAGCTGTATGGAGAATCAGCCATTAAAGTGTTTCTTGAAGGTCTTTTGCTTTTTTTTTTCTTATTGTTTTGCAAAATACATATGCAAAGTACAGTAAGTTGGAGACATAAAATGTATGTTCACAACCACTGTCAGTGCCTGGCAGGAAATGCCCTTTTTCAGTGCTTGCTGAAGAACTTCGGACTTTACACGTGTATTATAAACCGTGCCTTTTCCTCACACGTACACCCAGCAGGGACTTTGGAGAAGCTTGTTAGCAACTGTGAAATCTGTAGGGCTTAAATACATGTTGAGGTGCAGGGTACAAGACGTCTAGCCAGAGGTAAACAATCTTTTGATTTTCATTGTCTATATCTAGATTGCTTATTTTCCTATTTTCTTTTTATGATGTTTTATTACCACACGGTTTTTCACAGATGAAAGGTCCACCTGCTTCCAGTGCATTTCTACAGAACAGTGTGGACAATGTTTAGTGCTGTAAAACAAATGGAAAAACAAAACAAGACAAAGCTAAAATACAAAACTTTGAAGTCCTGATGGTGTAAAGTTAAATCGCTCCTTTTCTATTAGAGTGGCGCCTCCCTGACCTTTCTTCTCTCCAGGAAGCCTGTCAGAGATGGCAGAGGAAGACCCCCAGCAGTCACCAAGGTTTTTCTTGCCATTAGCCTCTGAACAGATGTCAGCCAGGGAAGTCCGGCCAGTGCTGCGCCAGATCAAGTTGCCGCTGCCAGCTCTCGCGAGCTTTGTCAGTAAGAGTTGACTGAAATGTCAGAGCTGTGCAATTCACAGGCGGGGCGGCTGCTGCATCCCGCTTTTCCCCGAAGTATTCCATGACTGCCACTTTGCAAACTTCGCCATCCATTTCTGCAGTGATTCCGGTGAGTTGCTCAGACTTTACACCTCTAATGAGAAGGTTCCCATGAAGGTCGGGCTGAGAAAGGAAGGGGAATTCTTCACCGTTTGCTGCGGAGCCCTTATGCTGCTCCAATGGGAACAGTCCCTGAGGAGCAGCAAGTGGGACAGAGCAGACAGGCTAGCAGGCACTGCATCCGGGGATTCTGTTATTTCAGAAACACAAATTCAGTTCCCTTCCTTGCCGAGGATATGATGAATCTGTTCAACCTTGAGTGAAGAGAAAAAGCACCTGTGGAGTCTCTTCCTTATTATTTACTCTAAGGAGACTTATTTTAGGCTGTGGTTACTTTTTTAATGCAGGGTTAATCAACCCTTCTTCAAAACAAAAGTACTGTTTGGGAAACCTTGACTTTTTCCTAGTACCATCTCTTTTGCAATGACATGGGTTAATTTTCTCTTATTACTAAACAGGTCACTTTTATCACTCAACATTTTGTCCCCTGAAACTTTCACAGAATCAGCTGGCAAGCAGAAAGGAAAGGTTTACATCCAAGAATATCTAGTTCCTGAATTGAATTACAAACCCCCTCCTTTGTTATTGACCACTTTTGAGGGTTTAATCTGGAGTAAAAAAACACTAAGCAAATAAAGAGTTTCAGCTCATCCTAGATTCTTGGAAAGCCTGTCATTATTTTATGGCATCAGATTCTGTTGAGTCATTGACTATAAAATTTATGAGAACCATGGAAAATTGAAGTACAAACAAAATAATTTCATCAGACTTCTATGGTCTATACTTTTTTCATAAGTAGGTATTCTGTATTTGAAGGAAAGCATTCCAATTAGCAAGTCCTTAATATGGACCATAGAGTATTTATGAAAGATGTGATCATAATTCATTTTGATAAAATCCTGTTGTTTGACATTAGCACGCTTTTGACACACATCTTAATGATTTGAATCATAACTCTGCAGTTTTTGTAGACAAAATACTACTGCCTTAGATGCCAAATATAGTATCTATTTAGATTTTAAAAGACATGTTTTGTTCAGTTATTTCTGTGTTATGTTTGTTGATATATAATATCCTGCATCTTTAATTTTAAGAAGAAATCTGAAATCTCTTTCATGCTACAGTTTTATAAAAGGTAAGTGAAGAAGATCGCACGGGGTCTATGAATATATTCTCCTCTACAAATTTAGCCTTGTTGTATTATTTCATCACAAGTGATGATACACTTCACAGTTCCTCTCTTCATTTTGATATTTTGCCAAAGTCTGCTCATTCTTACTGAAACTGACTGTTTTGGTATCAAATTTGGAGACTATACCCTTTACTTTAAGCCAGGTTTGGCCACACAGGTCCTTACTAAACCAATTTAAGGAGCTAAACTCATAGTGGAAAGCCCAAAAGGGAGATGTGTTCCGTGTAACCACATTGGGAAAAGGGACAATGCTTTCCCTCCCACCATCCATCTTTGGGGCCCCGAAATGAGACTGAAGTTTACACAGGGACCCAGGGATATGCCCAACCAGGCAGTCCTGCTTAAGTTGTGTTCCTACCTAGCAATGGTCCATCGTTGTCCAGGCTTCAGTCTCAACCTGCAGGGTGGTCCCAGAAGTTGTTAGAATTGTATGAAATCTCTTGAGGAATGTATTTTTCTCCTTGTAGCATGTTTTCCTGGGGGAATTCCCATTTCTCTGGGTTCCATTGTTTTGACAGTATGATAGTCAGAGTGAGAGAACCAATATCTCCTTGCAGTTTAGTTCTGCCAGGCCCTAACAGCAGCGGACGGTAAAAGAAAAGTAAGTAAACTGACAACAAATACAGAAAATTCAGCTTCCAAAGAAAATCCAACACATACAATAATATTCAGCTTACTCGTATAATATTGTGAATATACATTGTGAGTTTGATCTGGAATAGATCCGGAGTTCCCTGAACTCGTCTGTCATCTTCCATATGCCTGGATGTCTCAGCAGACATTCAAAACTTGATGGAAGATGGGGATGTAGTCCATTTATGAACAGATTTCCTCAGTACTACACTTCACATAGCCTGAAACAAAGCAGTTTTTGATTTGATATAGAGACTTAGCTGTTTTGGTCAAATAGAATTTCAATGCCGCTTCTAGATCCTTCCAGTACAATCTAGATAGTAATTTCCCAAATACAGTTTAAGAATCACCTTTTCCAGATAATAGCCACAGAGTATAGTGATGTTTGTAAAATGGGACGGTGATGCTGAGACAACACTGTAGAGATTCTTTTGGACATTTGCTTTTTTTGTTTGTTTTTTTTTTTACATATTTCTAGGCTGATCCACTATTTTAAACATTAGAAAAACATATCATTACCATTTACATACATAAACAATAATATACAGTTTTTTATATTAGTCATTTTAATACACCCACATGTTATATATAATATTGTATATTATATATACACCACATGATGTATATTTTCTCATAAAATTTTCTGGGGAGTTTAGACTTCGAATTTGAATTATAAATTATTTTTGTTTTGAAAAGAGATGCTATGTTCTTTTTATTTTAAAAGTCAAGATTTTAAAATTTGGTCTTTGTATAATATTAACAGTAAAATTGATGTGAAGTAGCATTTGCTAAACTTGAATTTGTTTCAAGTCTCTTTTTTCATGTGTACTTTTGCCTCATGAGTAAAATCTCCTAGTCTCCTTGAAACATTAACTACTAGTTCAAGGAATGATCTTTACATTAAGATAGCTGTAGTAACTGTGAAAGTTTGCCTTATTTTTTATGATAAGCATGTTTCTCTGAGTTTAATCTTATTTTTTAGCAGTTTTGCCAAGGGCACTACAAAATGTGAAAGGCGACGGAGTTCTACAGGATTTTAAAATTATAATTAAGAACAAACTAATGAATTAATTTTGAAGTTCATTTGTTTTGGTTATTTAAGTATTTGATAAATACATGCTAAATAGGTCTTTAATAGAGAAGTGCAGAGTATCATAAAAATGTCAGATTATGACCAGAAAGGAATAATGTGGATTTAAATGTAAGAAATTTAGATTACTGGCTGTGGGAGTATTCCATATTTTCATTAGGCATTGCAGATACATCAGTGTGGGCGATGGCCTGTCAGCAGGTAACTTGGGAGGAAGAACTGAATTGTCATTCTTACATAAATATATGCTTGTGGTGGTTGCTTCTGATGTTACATTTTACTTCGTGTATAAAAAAAAACTCATAGGTGTAATTATTGAGAATATGATTCTAATTCACATAAACAGCACTCTGGAAATTTAAGATCCATTTGGAGGAAAATAGATTTTAAATCACAGAAGAAAAAGCTATGTATACATAGGTAACATGGAAAGCACTTCGACGTTTTAGGTGTGATAGTAGTTATTCTAAGCAGTATAAAATTACAGTGGTTGCTAATTATATTCCAGGGAAAATATGCAGTGGGGGGTAGTTACATTTACTTTACAAGAAACTGTTGAAGAACTGTTCACATGTTCATCTGTACATGTTCATGTGTAGTGTATCTGTGTGTGCATTTGTGTGCTCAGATATGATCACATGGTCTGTGAGGCCAGAGGTTGATGTCAAGGGTCTTCTTGGATGACTTTCCTCTTTTCTTTCAGAAAGAGTTTGTCACAGACCCAATTCTCACAGACTTGGCTTGACAGTCGGGCTAGCAAGCCCCTAGGATCACCTTCTGTCTCTGCCTCCTGAGCTGTGTGAAATCACAGGAGCCACCACTACACCTGGCTTTTTTTGTGTGGGTGTTGGGGATCCAAACACAAGTTCTGTTTTCTCAGCAAGCCCTTTACCAACTGTGGCACGTCCCCAGACTCTGAACTAAGGTTTTAAGTTACCAGAATTACCGGAAATTGAAATTGTTAACATTTAATTTTACTGTTATAAGAACATTTAAATAAAACCAAGAAGAACAATCCCGATCATCTCTGCAGGGGCCTGAGAAGGAACCTGCTCTATTCCATACACCCAAAGACAAGCAGCCAGGGGTCCCGGTGTCCTAGGTGAACTTACTGAAGTGTCCTTAGAACAGACAGATCCAATCTGGGGCTTGCCATTTTCCCTTGACAAAGCTGATGTTCCAAAACAGAAAAAAGAAATTCCACATGCCCCTTTCTTTTTTATTTATTTAAGAGAAAGGGCTTCATAAAAAAAGTACAAAAAGCTATAAGGAACAGTAGTAATCCATACTTCTGTCCAAAATATAAAATTGCTTTAGGAACTGTCAGGTTCCGAGACCTTTGTTTAATTATTCCACATAGTTCAGTAATTATTACTTGCACATTACACCCACTGTGAGTAGAATACTTAAATGTCCCATGAAACAAAAATACAAAAGTATGTCTCATTAATACATTCAATGGATCTTAGCATGTACCCAACTGTATCAAAACAGAGGACATTAACAACAACAAAAACCTGTGACTTGATCTTAAAACCTGAACTTATTACTACAGTAATCAGTTCATACATAGGCTATTGGGCTGGAGAGATGGCTCAGCCGTTAAAGGCTAGGCTCGCAACCAAAAATATACATAGGCTATTTAGCAAAACAAGTCTATTTTGGACAGACACTGATATTTATAAAATTATGCATAGACATAGTTATTAAGCATTGGATTCAAAAGCAAGTGCTCTGCAGTATGACTTAATTTATTTATGTGTTTGTTGGGATTTGATCTCTAGATTTCCTGTGAGCAGGGACAAACGGTACTGATTCAAAATTAGCTTCTTCTAGGTATAGAGTGTGGGAAGTGGGCTTTATGGGTAAAGGGTAAAAAATAAGAAATTCTTACTTGTCTTCTCATCTTCAACTACACCGTGGCACATATGTCTCACCTTCCCCAATAAATGTCAGTAAATTAAAAATATATTGTTCACTATCAGGAAACATAGCTCTCACATGTCTGTCTTTCTCACTGCCTACCCAAACTTGATTATAGATGCAGAAATGCATAGCCAGTGGTTGGAGATGATAGGATTAGCTTCCTGAGCGGGCAGGTTAGATTAAAATTAGTGCAGCAGAAAAAGTAGCAGAAGGACAGTGCATTAGTTCGTGCTGGCCATTGTTATGTGGTTGGAATCAGTGCTTCTCAATGAATATTTTAATTGTGCTTCTTGCAGCTGTATAAAAAGGGCATTGATTCTTTTTAATGATATTTGCATTATGTTTTTATATTCCTTTATATCACATGGAGTTGGGAAAGTTTTATTTCACAGAAACTCATGTTGATGTTGTGAATATTAATAAACTGTGATCACGCCAAAGAGTCTCCATATGGCCTTAAATAAGTACCATCTACACTATAGTATTAAATACATTTCACTTTGTAGTTTTAAATGATTACTATCACCACTTCCACTTATTCCAGTAATTTCACAGCTTCGGTTCTCTGATTTCAGTGATTTTGTACACTGTAAAAAACTCTATTATCCATGACTTTGCTGACATATTTAACTATTTACATGTGCTGTAATCAGTTTACAAATTAATTGTTGCTAGTTTTGTAGAAATTCTTTCTAAATCAGTATCATCTCACATACATATCAACTGGGTCTCCCACCAAGGAGATTGTGATATAGGCAGAAAAAACTGATCTTAAATTAATTTCAGAGAAGTTCCCTGAACTGTCCCGGTAGCACACCTCAGGAAGCTAGTTTTAATAACCAGAGTGAAAGCGGGCTTGTTAGTATTGATATTCATGACTAAATGGCAATTACTTCATTTGTACTTAATATTCTACAAAAAAGTCTCAGTTTCCTTTTGAGGATAAAGTTAGATTGTATAGAGGTGAAATGTACTTTTAAAATACAGGGGAGGCTATGAAAAGAATCACGGGACATAGGAAGATAGTAATGATCAATACTTCCAAATTCTTCGGTGTTCTTACCAGACATCAGAGTTTTGTGAAATAGCATGCTTGTATTTTCTCCCCAAGACACGTAGAAATGACTCATGACATGTTCACCCCTGGCTATTCCATATTTGATGTGGCTCATATGTATCTGGGATAAACTACCTTTTTATGGTACTGAAACTTCTTACAGATTCCTAACAACAGTATTTCCAAGGCAAGATCCTTTATATTCTCCTTGCTGTATTTTTCTCTTTTAAGTGGAGAGAAATCAATTTCCCTCCTAGTACTTATACATATCCTTGGTTTGGTAACATATTCATTATGTCATATAAGTTCAGGGTAAATAGGAACTACTGTTATTTTAGCGAATAATCACTATTGGGACATAACACAGCATCTGCGTGGCTGTTAACATATTTGCTTACTTTTCTATTAGACATCAACATGCCGACCCAGCAGCGCACCACCATCACGCAGTCCCAGTTCTGCCTGTGCTTTCTTGCGCTCTGCACGCTTTTTGGGAAGTCACGCACTGAAGAAGACTTCGTAGTCACAACCAAGAGTGGAAAAGTACGGGGGCTCAGCCTGCCTGTTCTGGGTGGCACGGTGACTGCCTTCCTCGGGATCCCCTATGCACAGCCTCCTCTTGGTAGGCTAAGATTCAAAAAGCCACAGCCGTTAAACAGGTGGTCTGGCATTCAGAATGCTACCAAATATGCGAATTCGTGTTATCAGAACATAGATCAAACCTTCCCAGGCTTCCCCGGGTCAGAAATGTGGAATCCGAACACGAACCTCAGTGAAGACTGCTTGTATCTGAATGTTTGGATTCCAGCACCCAAACCGAAAAATGCCACTGTCATGGTATGGGTTTATGGTGGTGGCTTTCAAACTGGGACGTCCTCTCTGCCTGTTTATGATGGGAAATTTCTAGCACGGGTTGAAAGAGTTATTGTAGTTTCAATGAACTATAGGTTAGGTGCCCTTGGATTTCTAGCTTTACCTGGAAATTCTGAGGCTCCGGGGAACGTGGGCTTATTTGATCAACAGTTGGCACTTCAATGGGTCCAAAGAAACATAGCCGCCTTCGGAGGGAATCCTAAAAGTGTAACACTTTTTGGGGAAAGTGCAGGAGCAGCTTCAGTGAGCTTACATTTGCTTTGTCCCCAAAGCTACCCCTTGTTTACCAGAGCCATTCTGCAAAGTGGGTCCTCTAATACCCCCTGGGCAGTGAAGTCTCCTGAAGAAGCCAGAAACGGGACTTTGGCCTTAGCTAAATTTACTGGCTGCTCAAAGGAGAACGACACGGAGATGATTGAATGCCTTCAAAATAAAGATTCTCAGGAAATTCTGGTGAATGAAAGGTTCGTTGTCCCCTCTGATTCCCTCTTAGCGATAAATTTCGGTCCAACGGTAGATGGTGATTTTCTCACTGATATGCCCCACACACTGCTCCAACTTGGACAAGTGAAAAAAACTCAGATCTTAGTGGGTGTTAACAAAGATGAAGGCACAGCTTTTCTAGTGTATGGTGCTCCTGGTTTCAGCAAAGATAACGACAGTCTCATCACTCGGAGGGAATTCCAAGAAGGATTAAATATGTATTTCCCAGGAGTGAGCAGCTTGGGCAAGGAAGCAATCCTTTTCTACTATGTGGACTGGTTAGGTGACCAGACGCCGGAAGTCTACCGAGATGCCTTGGACGATATTATTGGAGATTACAACATAATTTGCCCTGCGTTGGAGTTTACCAAGACATTTTCAGACCTTGAAAACAATGCCTTTTTCTACTATCTCGAACACCGATCTTCCAAAGTTCCTTGGCCTGAGTGGATGGGAGTGATGCATGGCTATGAAATCGAGTTTGTCTTCGGCTTACCTCTGGAACGGAGAGCTAATTATACGAGAACTGAGGAAATGTTGAGTCGATCCATAATGAAGCTGTGGGCAAATTTTGCAAAATATGGGTAAGTGCTAATTTCTATAATTGTTACCTGGTTTGCTTAACTTTGCTTGACCTCTACCGCAGACTTCATTAAAATCATAGAAACATTTCGAGAGTTTTTCTCTTTGTACCTAAGCTGCCTTTGTGTCTTATTATGTGACGAATTTCAGTTCTTTATTCCTCAGTGCTTAAGAAAAATCAGCAGAGAATTTTTCTGTAAACTACGTTCTGATTCCATTTCCAAAACGATACAAAATACTTTAAGGATGTAAATACGTTTAGAAATAAATGCTTGTATCAGAACTGCAATAGTGAAAATGCTTTTCAACCCACACGTTTATTAAGGTTACCAGGTTTAAGTAAGAGGAGGAATGTGTCTTGTCTAAAACCTGGGGCAGTGGCATCTCAAACAGGGGTAAACATGTCCCTCTTAGGAATACGAATGGGGCAAGAAGATGAATTACTTCCTCTCAGAACTCATAGCTCTCAGCATTTAGCTGTTTTCCTCTAAAAGATTTTGTTGGACCTTCTAGGGAATCTGATTTACTTGAGATTTGAGGTCCCCCATGTTTACCAAAATTGGTTTACCATTGGGAGAGTATTGTGGTCAGCTTTGGTCTTACTTTTGTGATGTTGCTCTGGAGTCCTAATAAAGTATAGGCCAATCCCTAGTTGCAGGTGATTCCATTAATGCTTTTTCTACAGTAGGATATTTCAGAGTTTGTACTGTTCACTAGAAATCATACTTTGGATCTTTATCTCTTTCTGGGCTAGCAATGTGAGGAATGATAGTCTCTGAGGATGTTGGACAGCGCTGGCAGTGAGAACAGAGCTCCAGTCCACACACTTCAGAGCAAAGCAAACAGCCAACACTTCTGGCATTCTACCTTGCTAAGCTGCACTGTTTCCTTTAAGTTTATTTTCAGCTTGCAATATATTTATCAGAAGATTACTCCATTATAAACCAAGAAGCATTTATAATCTCTTGGAATACACCTTTTCTTTTCTTTTTTTTTCTAATTTTTAAGACCGATTTTCCCTATATAACCCAAGTTAGCCTTCATCTCAAAACCCTTCTGTCTAAATCTCAAAAATGCCTGGTTCTGGAATGTGTTTTCTTGTGTAAAAATAAAACCTTGGTTATAAACTATATAGACACCAAATAACTGAGTATATTAATGTAAATAATAAAATTAGGAATAAAAATATATTTTTGAAATGAGTACCTATATCAGTTGTAACCAGATGGATTTGTTAATACAACTACTGGTATTTCAATAAGCTAAGAGAATATTGGTAATAGTATTAAATTCTTGATTTTATTACATTCTTGTTTGTTTAGACTGTGTGTCTGCTGTGTATATGTGTGTCTCCACCTGTGCAAATGTGGAGGTTTCAGAATGATTCACAGGAGTCCTTTCTGTCCTTCCATCATGAGTCATGGGGATCGAACTGAGTTCAGCAAGTTTGCCTGCAAAGCCCTTAACTCCTGGGCCATCTTGCCCAGTTCTAGTTCTCATTTTTATCCTCAATATAGACTTCATCACATTTCATGATGCTGTGCATCGCTTTATGTTCTGAGTTACTAGCAATTATTCCCCCACCACTGTGTCAGCCTATATACTCTTTGTAAGATTAAAGTCCTTCTGCTAAGCCTGAAGGCATGTCTACATTCTTCATTCTCCTTACCATGGGCTTCAGTCAACAGGGTTTAGCCATTGGCAGCACATGTATTTTAGGAATGCCTGAGTCAGGAAAGCACACTGTACTGTATGGCTGTCATTCGGCAGTCTCCTGTCTCCTCAATGACACAGGTTCTTTTTATTGACAGGTCCAGACTAAATACACTGATTCACCTAGCCTGTATTTGGCTTTTAAGAGCAGTTGCTCCAGACACATGTAACTCTCACATAAGTTATGGACTTGTTTATATATGGCCATTCATTATAAGATAATCCTTCTAAATTGTATTAAATTAGCTTCTTGAAAAAATGTTAGTTTGTGGGGATATTCATTAAAATACTATAATAGGTATACCACAATAAATATAAGGTTAGCTGCTGAATGAGACCTAGAAATATTTATTTTTCCACATGTTACTTATGCTATATTATCTGGATTCTCAACATGAGCCTAAACTTTGCTCAAGGCTATGTTAGAGTTACTTAAACTCTTCCTCCAAAGGCTATGTCCTCAATGAGTCATTTGCATTTGCTTTTAATTATTCTTACAGTTCTAAAAATTATAAATTATTAAAGATAAACAGTCCTTCATGCCATTAATATCTGTAATTTTTAAAGCAGTTCATATTTTCATATTAAAACCATTAAGAAATGTTTAATTTCCCCTGTTCACATTGAAGTGTTAATAGAATATGTTTGATGTCTTATTTATGACACACATAGCATCAGATCAAAGAAAAGACTCTTTGACCTTTAATGGAATAGTTTAACCCTAATTAAGTGCTTCCCTGATGGGTTTGTTTTCTGGGAAATCAATGAAGTCTGACTTACTAATTCTAATGGGAAACGTATACGATGAAACTTTTTAAACACAATGTAAAAGTTAAAATAACCTTGCAAAGTAGGATAACCATACAATACATTTCATAAGTAAGGAAATTTTTCTCAGAGTCCATGTTTGTAGTTAGGCAAAGGAAAAATATGTCGCGCACATTTCCAGTGGAATTGACAATGAATGGTAATCTTAAGTAACTTCACTGAAGACAAAGGGATCAAGTGTTAGGTTGACATGCTTTGATTCTAAACTTCTCAAGAGTGGACACTTGGCTTCAGGCACCACCCCGCTGGACAAAGAGGATACTGAGTATTGTGTGGAGCCCAGTAGGTCACAAGCATGATATAATGCCTAGGAAATTTCCCCAAACAAACACATACTGTTTCAAAATGTTAGAAACACCAAGATTTAGAATATTCTCCACACTCCCAAAATGTATTTTTTAGAACGGAAAAGTAGGCTGTGGCCCCCTGAAAAATTAGCTCCCTCACATTCAGAGATCTGAGCTCTTTTTTTCTGTTAAACTTCATGTGTTAGCCTATGTTAAAGAGAGGTGGAATAGGACTTGAAACTGTAACTATCATTTAGGAAGAAGGATTTCATGTTCCCACCACTTTTCTAATCAATTACTCTTGCATGCTAGTTAAATATATGTGTGTTGCTTCTGAGCTTCATTGGAATATAATTTTCATATGTAGTTCAATAAACTCTGGTTAATGTCTATAATTCATCATCCTACAACTCTGTCTCTTTTGCATGTTTTTTATTGTTGTTGTTATTTATTTCTCCTGCCTGTTCAGTATACTGTATAAACTTCAATCTGACAACTTCTGCTCTGTCCAATATGGCTGTAGTAGGATCAACAACTCTAATGGGAGCTTCTCATGCCTGGTGTAGTAGGTGTTTTTGTTAGATTGTTTTTGGTTCTTAGAGAAAGAGTCAGTATATATGAAGACATTTCATTTAATGTGTGTGTGTGTGTGTGTGTGCTTTCATGTGCATGTGTACTATAGATTTTAGTTTATTTTATATGCATTTGTGTGAGATTCCCCTAGAACTGGAGTTACAGATGTTTGTGGGCTGCTGGGAACTGAACCCTGGTCCTCGGGAAGGTCAGCCTAGAAGGATATCCAGGGTTGTTAACCACTGAGCAATCCCTCCAGCACTGTATTATAGGTTTTTTTAAGGTGTGTGTGACAATGTGATTCCCTATGACATTTCCTTAGCCTTGACTTACCTTCACCCCTGCTTCCATATTTGTTTCTCCTGTCACTCGTAGAACCCTTCTTTCTGTTGTGTTGATTAGTTATTGCTTTTAGAAATGCTTTATTTACTTTTATTTTATGTGCAGTATTTTGTCCTCGGATATAAGCCTTACACACGCCTTGTGATCATGGAGGCCAAAAGAGTGCATCAGAAACAAGGGACTGCGGTTATAGGGAAGAGTAAGTAGCGCTTTTAATAAGTAGAGCCATTTCCACAGTCTCCGTTTTCTTCTCACACAACTGGCTTCTGTTTCTCACAGATCAGACTACACTTTGATGATCTGTCTAAAAGGTTTTTTCTGCTCATGAGCATTATGAACTGTTTGTGTGAACGTCTTTGCATAATGTTTTGTGTTATATTTCTCCCTTTGGGTAATGAAGGAGCACAGGGATTGCTGATATTTCATGGCTTCAGCACTCTGTATCCTCAAGATACTTGGAATAGTCAGGCTTTTTTTTTTCTGTTGTAGTTTCCAGTTCTGTTCCAGAACATCATAGCATCATAGTGGTTTAACTCTGTCTCTGTCTCTGTCTCTGTCTCTGTCTCTGTCTCTCTCTCTCTTGTGTGTGTACAAGCACAAGTGTGGTCATCTGTAACACTTCACATATAAAATATGCATTTATATGTATACATGTTTGCCTGAGTACAAGATTCAGCTACTTATGCAAGTCAGAGGCAAAGGGTCTTTTGTAACTGGTGACACAGGTTTTTGTGAGCTGCTGCTGCCTGGTATTAAGCAGGGAAACAAATTTACTTCCTCAGTAACAGCTGCAAGTTAAATACTGAGTTAAAACTACAAGGGTCTGTTTTAGGTGGGTTTATTTGACATAGATTTAGTGAATGTGCTCTGGGTGTTTTAATATTTTCTTCTAGCCTATATCTTGACTTTGAGTTAGTAAGTGTATCTCTTGATAGTTTGAAGCACAGAAAAATAATATTTTAATTATTTTCCATGTAATATTCAGATTCTCCATTTTCTAAGAAAGAACCTATTTCTTTGCCCATTTAATAACCATGAAAGACAGATGACAAAATCTCTATAAATATGACTTTGTGGATGTGATGACAATTTATTCTTTGCAGTAAGTCACATTGTAGCTATGAATTTTTAGATTTTTTTATTTTTATTTTATGTGTATTAGTGCTTTTCTGTGTGTATGTGTATTAATACCATGGGATAGTATTCACTTATTAACAGCTATATGGGAGGACAAAGCAATGATTTATTAATAATTTTCC